TGAGTAGACAGAGGAAAGGGCAGAACAAAAAGCAGCGTAGTTCTGAATTTTTATGCTATCACTAAATTATGTGACTATTCAGAAGAACAACAACAGTAGTATTTTGGTCAGCTGAAACTAAGGAGTTTCCATCTGGACTTCAAAACCTGATAACTCACATGAGCTGTACGATCTCTAGTAAGGAAGACATTAATTGTGAAAATCTCAGAGCGCATCTCAGTGTTCAAACAGTTCTGAGAATATTCCCCTCCATATCAGTTTCACCTCCATTTTGTTCATTGCAAGTTCCAGCCAACTGGCTTGCATCCATAACTCTACTAGAAAAGAAAATTATGTTTTCCAGCTCCAGCAGAATAGAAGACACAGAATTGGCACTATTGGAATATTGATGACTTGCCAATATGATCATACCTAGAAACTTCAGCACAATGGGGGATCAGCCAACTGTTAAAAATTTAGGAGTAAACGGCTTCCTATCACTTCTGATACCTCAGCCATGTATAGATTAAACTTCTTTAAAGCAAATCTACCCACCTTGAGACCCACAGTCATGTCAGTGGCTCCTTTTATCAACTTAACTTGGAGATGGCAGGAAGATCTATCTTATGAACAATAAAAACATGAAGTCGTTTCCTGAAGGACTCAACTACTGAGACTGTTATTTCCAGAAACAAAAGAGACACTGGTAACTAACTTGAAAACTATGTTTTGCAGAGATATGCTAGAGTAGACCTGATGACATCTGGGAGGCAAATGAGAGTTAACTTGGGCTCTATTCATAGACCCAGTAAAAATTATGATATCCATGAAATTAGTATGTGATTTGGGTGATTTTAAGCTTTAAGAAAGCATATTCCTATAACCATACGAAAAATTATAATTCAACAATTTTATAATTCAATATTCCTATAATCATACAAAATATATCAAGACTTTACAACAGAAAGCTGTTATTGACCTCATTCTCAAAAGTCTACCTTTCTCACACTCCTTTCTCTATGAGCTGCATTTACTAAAGATTTGCTATAAAAAGAGAACAGTACGACTGCACTTTCAATCCGTTTGAAATACTGAGAGCAAGTGTCACCACTGCTCTAACTCTATATTTTCTCTTTCTCCTGAACTTCCAGAATGGTTCTAGTGTCTGATCACATTGCAGATGAAATAGTTATTTTGGCAAGCTGCCAACCAATTTCTGTTTGAAACTTAATATCTTTCCAAATGGCAATAGGAGTAACTGTTTGACCTCTTCCTTTTTTTTTCTTTTTCTTTCTTTCTTTTTTTTTTTTTTAATCTTCTTTATTATTATTATTTGTGTACAATTTATTTGTAACATTGCCATGGTTGAGTACGTTCCACCTGAGAAGATCTTACAACTTTCTGGTTTCTAGTCCATGAATCTCTGGCTACTAAGAATCCATGGAGGACCATTAAAAGTGTGGAGAAAACAAAACAAAACAAAAAAACAGAAACTTATTTTAAGATAGTGCCATAAATGAAACTTTCCTGATTAATCTCTTGATGATATATATCAATTTCAAAATGTGTTCCTCCTCTCTCTTCAGCAATGTTTTTATCATCTGGTACCGAGACAGCCACATATACACCCAGATGTACACTATAACCAAGGACACTAACAGCTACAACTTCACCACAGCAGCTGAATGTATTGCTGGGGAAGGAGGGGGGGAAGCATCAAATTATTGCATTTGTGAAGTTAATAGTTTTCCTCACATTTTTAGCAAAAGGAGCAACTGAGAAGATTTCTAGAAGGCATTCTACTGCGATGCTAAATAGGTATACTAAGTTAAGGCAGTAATGAAAATATAATTGATCCTATGATTCTATAATTACAGTGACTGGAAATGTCTTACCTCCATTTAGTTCATGGCTCTACAGAAAAAAAAAGTATGGAAAACCTAATGGCTGGTAGTGGCATAACTTGAGCCACCATAGTGTAGTCCAAATATGATTACATAAACTTTAATTTTTAAAAAAATCACATTCATAGCTCATACAGTTTCTGTTAAAGATCTGTTAAAGATCTGTGCTTAAGAGAATCTTTAGAAAGGTACTGAAGGGAGATTGGATGGCTATGAAAATTACTTGACAAAGCACATTAGGAAATGAAAATTGCTGTCAATAAAAGCTACAATGAAAATGTACTTGTTATATGGCTCTTACCTATCAGAAAGTAAATTCTGCAAAAACCTGAAGTGCTGGCAGAGCACATGGCCATTGCAGTGATTTGAACATTCAGATAAAATCGGTGAAGCCAGCCATCACATCTGTGCATGACAAGTAGCACCCATAAGCTTATGGCAGAAAACATGAAGATGGAGACTCAACCAAAATGCTCCATGCAAATATGAATGGTTCAGACCAATGAAATAGCCGTGCTTTCAGAAAAGCAGTTCACTTTTTCCAGTTACATCAGTTCATCTAATAAAAAAAATATCCAATTCCAGAGGTACTTCTGTTCTATCCAAGCTAGATGACTACCAAAAAAGCTTTAATGACTGTTAGAAATTCTAAATTCTGCATTCTGACGAAGTATACAAAGATTAATAAAAGTAATAAATTCATTTCAAATATGCTCATAAGTGGAACTCATGCCTGGACTTCAGAAAACTTTATATGTGACTAGTACATTATTTGCAACAGAACTTGGAAAAGATAGCAGCAAAAAACACAAAATGCACTCAATTCCCAGCTACTTCTGAGACCAAAAGACCAAATGTTTTACAGTTCCTATGAGAACAAGTGGGAAGCAGAAAAGGGAGCTGCACCTGCTACATAAGCTATGTAACTGCCTTGAACTGTTCCTTCTTGGGAAAAATGGAAAAGTAGAAACAGGGCAGACAGTTGTGCAGGGACTTGTTTCAACATATAACATGTTCCCTTAAACCTATGGGAAGTCTGCCTTTACAGATTTTTTCTGAACCTTTAACAATGCTGCTTCTTTCAGATTACTCTGTTCATGACATTAGAACAGCCCTTGACTTTCAAATTGATAGAGTTACTGCAAAATAAAATTTGTTGCAAAGTAGACCAATGATTCTTCTGGTTAAATAAAACCAAACTCTCAATCTTTATTCATTTGGCACCTTTCATTCTCAAACTGATAAAAACTAACAAACATGAACTTCATGTGAAGATCAAGAACATAACAGAAAGTAGGAAATGCTACAAACAAAATGGGAAAATGTATTCTGTTACTTCAGTGGAAAATTTGCCAGTACTGCAAAAGAAGGCTGTGACTGCCTTCCAGTACTCTAAAAGTTTTATAAATTCATTTTTCACCACAGTGCCTGGCACATAACATTTTGATCAAGGCTTATTGGCCTATATATCTCAAGTAGCAGTGGGATAAATAAATGACGAGCATATATCACTTTCCTCCTTCACTGGTGTATTTCTAGATGTTGGGATCCAGAAGTTTCAGTGGAAGACTGTCCACCACTTAAAGTTATCCTCAATTACCGCTCTACACTGTATCACATCTGTGAAGAAAGATGTGCAATAAAAATAATGATTAATACAATTTTGCTATCTTGAAAGTACTTTTGAGGTAGTTACATTAAGAGTAAATCGCTAATTTAAAGAACGATTACTATTTTATCAGTATGAGTTGAACACTGAGCATATTTACCAGAAATGATGGGGGTTATCTCCTGAGCAGCAGCCAGGAGTTTGATACTCAACTTATATGGAATATATTATTTATTTAACATGCAGAGGAAATTTTTTAGCTATTTAAAGTATATACTTTTGTCTTTGCTTGCTGACCAATTATTAACAAGTCAACAAAAAATCTTTATGGTTTACTTTATGGTTACTTGAAGCACATTACAACAGTGTTTTAGTAAACTGCATGTACTCAGTAGATCTTCCACTACCTGTTTTTCAGAAAATGTTAACAAAACCTTTACCCTTATTTTACACATCATTAGCCACGAAGTGTTAAAACATCTTTCTCTGTACCTGCAATCAATTTCTATTTGGCAGAAAGTAAAGTGATTTCGTGCATATGCTCATCCACTTCTCATTATAGACTGGAAGAGGTTCTGGTATGGTAACGGCTTTAGCAAGTGCATTATATGCTGGAAAATGTGTTTTGTTAATACCTTGATTTTATATAAATGATGCACATGCAGTACTTGAACCATACTGAACTCAAATGAGCTACTTTGAACTGGAGCCCATCGGCAGGACTGGCACCTGAAACCTAGGAGCAACTCTGGCAAAACGCACATCTGGCTGCCCTCCCTATGCCTGCCCTTCCTCCAGTTCCTTTCCTGAACCCACCTTTCCTGTGGAGGTGCCAGCCACCTGACAGCAGGCTGCAGCAGGGCTAGATCTAAATTATATGGAGTCTGTCATCAGTCCTCAGTAATCTCACATAGAGTGGAGGCTCAACTGTCAGTCAGCATGCTAAGAAGTTTGTGCTTCAGAACCAACAGTCCTAAATTAAATTAGCATGATATACCTCTATAGCTATCAATAGCATAGAGTTAGACCTTTTCTGCGTCCAGGCAGTATTTACACGTAAACTGATGTTCAGATTATTCCCTAAATTAAGAATTAGGGTAAAATAGTAGTCTCCTCAGGTCCCCTGTACTCAGGAGAGAAACAGCATTCACTCACATGAAGTTATCCACTCAGCAGTATCAGTCTTCTTACTCACTGTTTCCCCTTAAAATTATTGACCTTTAGCTAAAACATTTTATACAGTCATGAGAATCCTACAAGAAAAGTGGATGCAGTGCAGAGGATTCTAGTCATCTGGTCATTTGTGTGTTAGAAAAGATAGTAGCAGTCAGCAAAAAACAAACAAACAAAAAACCACAGGTGTGATGTGATCTAAATCAAGATCTTGAGAGCTACTACTGCTTGTTCTTTCAAGGTAACTGTAAAACACTTCATTATTGTTTCAGGTTTGCATTATCACAATATAGTGCGCAAAGAAACTCTTAACTTAAAAATGACAGTAAACCAAATAAAGTGAAATCATTTTTAATTCTCTTTTTCGAATGTGCATTTGAATTCAGTACAGATCTGCGAGGCACTTTCATAGGTCAAAAAAAAAAAACAACAAAAAACCAACAAACTGAATACTCTTTCCAAAACAAGGTTTGTCATAAAGCAATGGTATGAGCACAAAATATAGCCTTATCTGTAACTAATAGACAATGAAATCTGAATATTCAGGTTTGAGATGCAGTGTAGTGCCGTTTCTGTATCATGACACTACTGTGAAAGTATTGGCACTGTAAATGATTTCTCATTGGGGTTAGGGGCTTGTATTCTCTTCATATCCCAGTAAAAAATAAACTCTGTAATAAATAAATATATAAAATAAATATATGCTATCTGAAGTTGTATAAATAGGTCCATCCAGAAGAAAAGTTCCAGCTCTGATTATGATGCACTGACATCTAAAGTCCATCACTGAAGTGAAGCCACCAAAACTTCATATGCAGTTCAAGATTATTGGTGTTTTGTTTTGTTTTTAACTGTATTACAGTTTATATATCTTTATTTCTTCCAGTCATTGTTGGATCCACACGATGTAAGTAGGTTTTTTTGATAATTTATGGGCCATAAGTAGTCCAGACAAAATCACCAAGAGTTTGTAACTTTTAAGAAAGTCACACTCCAACTTCCCTCTTGTTACTGGTTGCCACACAGTTCAGCAAGTTTGAAGGAGGCTGGTCAGCAGTCAGTTTTAAGGCTTTGTCTCCTAAATGCAAACTTTGGAAAATAGGGGTCTGTCTATCACAGAGTAGCTTCTCCAAATCTCTTGTGCCAGTATTGTCATGTGAAAATAGGTAAGATGAAATATCACTGGTTTGATTTTCTTTCCAAATGTCCCTCTCCCCTCAGCTGTATCCTAGCACATCTTTATACAGTTCTGGAACTCTTTCAGGATCCACAGGTCTGGGCAGGAAATGTGTGAACTTCTGGTGTCTTTTGGACCTTGCTCCATCTCTGGGAGTACCATCTTTGTTAAGTGCTACAAAGTATCGCCGCCCAGAATCTCCGTGTTTGTACACATTGGAGGAGTAAGTGTTGTACCAGTTTTCCTCAAACTGTTCCCTGAAGATGCACTCAGAAGTTAGTTTCTCCTACACAAAGGAAGAGCATAGAAAAATAAGTCAAGTTATTATTATATATGAGAGCACACTTATGAAAGAAAATGATAAACAAGATGTCTTAATGTCTTAGGCTTGTCCTGCCTGTTAACAAAACAAATCAAGAGGAGTACATTGACCTGACACGGAGTCTAGAAGCTTAACTTGTGCTTTAGTCTTCTAAGAACTGGACCTGTACATATTCAAATTTGGATTTAAACACATTATATAACACACTAGCTAAGAAGCCACTACTTATTTACAATTTAACTAAAATTCAATTGATCCACAGTAATTTACTGAGTAGATTTCTGTCATGGGAAGTCTACCACTCTAGAGATAAGACCCGCATGGGTTCTTTGTGATATGTTACTTTTCATATTTTAAGCAGGAGGACAGGACTAGTCAAAACAAAAGGAACATTGTCATTGTTTTCATTTTGTGGGGATGATGCGCTCTGTGCACTGCACAGAAGAAAGCTACGTTCACCTCAGTTTCTAAACTGTGTGGTCTAGATTAAGTGCAAGCAGTACATCAGCAGGTCACCATTTCATATTTGTTCAGATCCCTGATTTTTAGTGCTTGCATAGTGGTAACATATGTATCAAAATCTCAACATGTAGAAGCTGACACGAAAGCAATACTTACAGAGCCATAGAGTTCTCCCTTCTCATTCATTCCAAGGTAAAGGCCACTGTCTACACCTCTTATGCTGACCAGTCCCACTGCTACACTGATGAATTCAAGGATACCTGATACCCAAAGGAAAAAAAAAAAAAAAGAGAGAGAGAGAGAAGAAAAAAGATTATTTTAATTCAACTTGTGACAAAAAAAGAATAAAATCATTTTAAAAATACATGTGGAACTTTTTTTTGAAACTCCTACTACTGTACGGAAACATATACAATGTTCACATGAAAGCAGGCTGAGAAGCTTCATCCAGGTAAAAGAATCCTGCTTTATTTGAAGAAGCCTTTTTTTTTTTTTTTTTTTCCACCCTTAATTTTAATGATGAAAGGTTTTCATTCATCACTCAGGCTAAAACCTTTGGTACTATGTGGCTGCAATCTATAATGATTAGACGCTGTTTGCCAAGTTGCCTGCTCAAACATCAGGAGATAGGCTTGGATTACCTGAAAATATACTTTACTTTCTCTATAGCATTATCTTAAAAAAACCCAAACACTTCTATTACTAGACCATTTGAATAGAAATTGAAGTACAGATGGAAATTTTATATAACAGAATCTACCTGCAAGAAAAAAAGAAGGGGTGGGGGTGGTAAAAAAATATTTGCCAGAGCTCTTATCTAGCTATATGGGTCCACACCTCTTGACACAACCTGCTATCTTCACTGCCAGCTTTGTGTGTGCATGAAATACGGTGCTTATTTGGTTGTGTTTGAATTATAGCATTACATATACTACATTTTCCCCAAAATGTAATACACGTTAACAATACAAAGCATTCAGGAGATGAGGCACTATTTGAAGCCTGCAGTTTGGCAAGTGTGTGCCAGCCCACTTAACCAATTGATATGCACAGATTACAGTGCATATAAAACACGAAAGAAAAGAGACGTGTGAACCAGCTTTTTGGAGTTGTTAACAATGTAAACAAAGCCTCAAAAATTAGCTGTTCTGGAACCATACCTAAGATTTTGCTACAGATAGAGTGGCAAAATCACAAATCAGTTTTTTAAAAAATCTCCATCTAGGGAAAGTGATTTTAATACCATATTTGCTTTTGACCACATCTTTTTATCTATTGTTACTGTAGTAACGATCACTCTCTCATTCAGGACCATTTTTCACTGCAAGGCAGATGGACTGCACAATAATTTAAAATGTTGTGAATTTTAATTGAGGTTTGGCAGGTTTTTTATTTACCTCACCAAGGACCAAAGAGCATAAATCCTTTACAAAGAGTGATCATTAAAAAAAACCTCTATTGCATATAAATCATCCTCGCGTTCCAGTTCCTAAAGCACAGAGCCCCATAAAAGAGGTGGAGGTGTTTTGTCTCTCTAGTATCATTTTCAAAGCCACTCTTTTTCTAAGCTCTAATAAGCAGGTGATTCAGCCACAAAGCAACCACATCAGACAAACCTGCACAGAACGGTGGTAGAATAAAGGAAGAACATTTCTAAAAAGCCTGAATGTTTGATCTGAGGCTAATTTTTTTTTTTTTTTTTAAACACAGACTTATTTCATGTTTACATGCTGTAGGAAATCTCCCTTCTAAGAAGAGCTCTGCTTGACTGCTGCTCTTCTACTTCTGAAAACATCCACATGTTATAAAAACAATTAAGAGCCATTCCAGCAGATAGTTTTGGCTGTGGGGAGGACGATAGGAAGCTCTTTAATCAGCTTTTTATGACTACTGAATCAACACACACCCAAACTTGAGTGCAATTGACAACGGCAGGTTTGTTCAGATGCTTCATTCCTACAACCAGTCCTTACATTTTACTCTTAAATCACAGGAAACATCCATATTTTGGGGCTCGACACCTGTTTTTGGTTTACTGGCAGAGAGAGCAATGAGAAGTACTCCTGGTACTCGAGCAGAGAGGAATTGAATCACCTCTACTTTGTCCTTCTCATGCCACAAAAGGGCCACTATAAATACATTATCCTACCAGGACTCTAAGCACCCCAGAAACGAGCACAGAAAGTTAGGTCCCATTCTCACCTGCCCTCCTAAACCCTATGCCCACAGACAGGGCAAGATACCCTGCGGGGGCTAGGCAAGGCACCCACCCGCCTGCACTCTCAAACATCGCAAAGCCCGCGCTCCCCCTCGCCACCTACCGAACAGGCTGTGGTCCTGGCGGGTGCCGCGCACGCTGCCGTCGGGCAGGATCTGCAGGTGGAAGCCGGTGCGGCAGTAGAGCTGCCGCCGCCGCAGGATGCCCTGCAAGTGAGCCAACTCCGCCGCCGCCGCCGCCCGCTCCGCGGGACCCCGCTGCTCCCCCAGCAGCGCCGGGCGCTCCCCGGCGGGCGGCAGTAGGAAGTGGGCGCCCACCGGCTGCCCCAGACCGTCCAGGCCGCCCAGGAGGGCCCCCACTTCGGCCAGCGGAGCCATGGGGGCACGGAGCGAGCGGACTAGGACGAGGCGGCGGCGGACGGCTGCCGGCCTCTCCCAGCGGGCATGTGGGGCTTCGCGGCCGGGCCCCAAGCATGGGGAGCCGAGCCAGTGCAAGGCAGAGCGGCGGGTGGTGTTTATACGCCCCGCGTGTATATATATATACGGCGGTCCCCCTGACATATGCTAATGAAGCCCTCCGCGGGGAGGCCGCGTTTGAAATTGTAAACCCGCTCCCCCTCACCTCGCACCTTCTTCCCATCTGCCCGGCGGCGGGGAGGGAGCGAGGGAACGGAGGGAGGGAGCAGCGAGCGCCGGGAGCCTGCCGCCCGGGCTGCGCCGCACGCGCAGGTATACGCGAACCTATGCGCCCGTGTAGGCAGACGGGCACGGCTCTGCGGGGTGCGGAGGGCACCGGGACCGGCACCAGAACCTGGCTGGGGTGTGCGGGCTGTGCACCGCGGGACAGGTGCAAGGAGAGGCGGGGGGGGGGGGAAGCGGGAGAAAGGGCGTTACCTGAGGGCGAGGCCTGCCCAGACATACATGAAAGGAAAGAAGCACAAAGATCTGACAGTTCTACTCCCTCTTTCTGAAACGCTAATAAAATGCACAGCGTTACCCTTGCCTTTTATCACTTCAGTTACAAGGAGGGGAATTTTTAAAGAAATTGGCATAGTCAGGGAGGTGCTTTCCCCTCTGCAAATTTTCCCTCGTACTTAATTTATTAACGTGACATGAAGCTGATCTATAGCGGTTGGGTATCAGTCTGTAGAAATATTAATGGGCAGGAACACGGTTTGGGAGAAATGTTTTCGAAGCCTGCAGATGTGAAGGAAAAAGTACCAAGAGATGGCTCAATCCATCCATCCGTGCTGGGCCCCTGCAGCAGGCTCATTACCAGCACCTGGGAGCACCACAAAGCAACAATAATGCCACGTCCTGAAGGGTGCCCGGTGTCTTTCTGTAGTTTTGAAACAATCTAGGGTCTTGCTGTCCTCTTGTAGCCAGAGCTTGTGCATTTTTTTCACTCAAAGCAAAATGGTTCACACATGCAAATATGTTCATTATTAGCATTGATAAAGCAATGATGTATTGATCCTAAAAGCTTGACTTTTGCATACCTTGCTGCTTTTTCTTTAATATCTAATGACTTCTAGGGCTCAAACTACATGACTCGTCTTAGCATTTGCTATGCAAAGCAGTTCTTGCTGATATTAAAGCAAAGGTTTAGAATATAAAATGCAAAGATCTCTCACAGTTAATTCTTTCAGAAGTTCGAGGGAGCTACTTGGCATTCTAAGGTTTCATTCAAACAAAAAAGTTGCAGAGAATCATGAAAGATTAGTTCTTCGGTCTTGCTCCGTGGTCCTTTCAGTCACAGTCTGAATCTGAGAGATCAAATGGATTTGACTGCTTAGCTTTATTTGCTGTGGAGAGTATAGGGCTAATTAATTGGCAGGTGCTTTAAAGCAGGTAATGCTACACCTTTTCATCACTGCAGTCCTAAGTACTGCCCCTGTGTGCACCTGAATTATAAAAAGGCTGCTTTAAAGCAAGTGATTTACTGTGGAGGGACTTAAAACTAAAAAAAGCTAACACTAAATACAATGATCAGATAAATCACCTCAGAAGAGAGAGAGCAGGCAGACCTGCTCTGAAGGCAGTTACAGATAGATGTTATATTATTTTACCTTTCAGATAACAGAAGCCTGTCATGTGGTGGGACCAAAAATCCACCATCATCGAGATTTCAAAGCACATCTGTGTAAACATTATCACATCAGTGTAAAACATCAACCAATGAGCTTTCTCTTTGAACCAAATCTACTTAATTGCAGTGCTAAATCAAAGAAATAGATCAAAGTTGGATAATCTATATGGCACCTATTTCTCAAGTAGCCTGCACACTGATTACTCAACTATACCTAAAACGTTTGAAACAAGCATCAAGCAATTTTACTGACATGATGGGCAGGTCAAGATCAAACCACAGTTAGTTCATCACAGCTGCTGTTGCAGGACATGCAATTGGATGGTACGGCTATATACAGGAGATACATTCTGCTGAGCCAAAAGGTGCCCATTATGGAAAGTGCCACCAGGTCCCAGTAGGATTTTCCACGTCCTACCAAGAGTAGAGGGCTCTTTTGGTCAGATAGCACTGCTGTCCCCAGCAGTGAAGGATTTTTTTGAGAAATACATCCTCAGCTGCCACTGCTGGAAGGCCCTTATGACGGAGGCTTTCCTGTTATATGGTGGAAACATTTAACATTGAGTGGAAAATATAACATCGATCTTTTCCGAGTGGAGTCTTTAATGTCTGGGCAGTAACCGGTTAGCTGTTTTAAAAAGTACCAGAAAAGAAATGAAAAGATAAGATTTTTTTCTGCTGTTTGCATTAATCACGTGACAGGAAAAGGTAGCACTGTAGCACTGGTGCTTTTTTTTTTTTTTTTTGGTTCCTTCTGAGACTATGCCATGGGAAGTTAAATAATTTTGAAGAGCGTTTTTACAAGAGTGCATTATTGAACATTAAGCATACATTACAATCTAATCAACACTACATATACTTCCTAGGGGCTGCGCTTTCAGTGTCATTGAACAAATACACGTGTGGTGAAGTTCTTATTTCCACAGCAAGTAGTGGGGGCTTCTACAGACAATATAATTACTGTATATTACCTAAGAATGGCATGTTGTTATAGGCAACACCTGGTGGCTACCAAGGGATCAGAGAAAGTAGCAGAGTGAAATCATTGATACGTTGAATCGTTGGCTGTAGATACATGTATATACAGAAAGAGATCTAAGTATCTATCAAGTTGGTCAGAAAAAGTTGTTAGCTGTAAATTTTGTTCTACAACATGTTATGCCATTACTAATTTTAGAACTCCCTTATAACAGTGCTGTACAAGCCATAAACTTGTACTCATACCATAAAATAACAAGTAGGAGAAAGAAGGAGTGCAGGTCATGAATATGTAAGAAAGCAAGCACTAGGAAGAACAAAATCCACTCAGCATAACATAAAGAAATGTGTCCAACTGGAGATATCTGTGTATAATGTTAATTTCCAGATTATTCCTAATTCTACAATTCTGTGATTCCTATATTTAGACAAGAAAACATGGCCAGCTAATTTCAACAAGGACAGAACAAAGAGAAGCTACACATGCATAGCGAAAAAATCTCTGAGGAGGTAAAATTAATGCTGAAAAAATACAAGTTTCCTACAGAAGTGCTACTTTCCTTGCACTTTCTTTGTTTGTTTGGGGTTTTTTATATGAATATATATATCCTTAAGGATTTTTAAGACTCATTATTACATTGCCCATGTTTTTGTAGATAAAGGTGGATAACTCCCACTTAAGCAGAATGGGATAGAAAAGCTAAGCAGTGAGCTACCTAGGTAGTGAGGAAACTTTATGTCCAGTTACATTCACTGAGAATGGTCATTATCCATATATTCCAATTAAATATCTAATTTGGCAGCTTTTATATCATCAGTTCTCTAAGCAGATCACTAAACTAAGATTTATTTATACTAGATGGCTTCTGAACCCATGCACATAGGATGTGCAGACAGCTTACTGTTTTTGACTTACTGCCCAAATAAATTGCACTCTTGTTCCTAAGCAAACGCCTCGCCGGAGAAGCTTTGACTAAATGCTCAGACGTAAGTAGTTACAGATGTTTATTGGTTTTTTTGAAGTGAAAAAAAAGATTACCCTAAGGGTGTTATTGAAAAGTCATTAAATTGTGGCTAACCAATTTCAGAGAAACAATGTCATCAGGGAGATTACTCACGGTTCTCATCTATACTTTCAAGTAACTAATCGCTCATTTAGCTAACAGACTTACTTAGGGACATTACATTGACCGGAAGTGATTTCTTTTCCAGAAATGGATTAGATGTCATCTCTCCAGGTAGCTGTCTTTCAAGACCTATCTCTGAGATAATTCAGCCTTGGACATGCTTGCAGTTGTATGAACTGTCAGATTGCCTGTTGTCAAGCACAGTTCTCCTGTGATATAATATGGTAATTACTGAAGTTTTTCTTAGAAATTGTACTACATGTATTAAATGAGGTTTAGTTCTTATATTTTCTGAAATATCTGTATATGATTACATAACAAATTCACATCTTGTTCACAGTAACATACAAAGACAGCAAAGACCTAGGAAAAAAAACAACAAAAACAAAAACAAAAACAGTACAACTGACTAAAGCTTGGGAAGAGCATACTTATAACAAAAGACAAAAAAAACGAAGCTGCAACTGACCCCGGGAAAAAAAAGTACTTAAGACTTGAAATGTCTGCATGCAACTTATGAAATTTCAACACAGCATAGGTGGCAATGCATATTGTGCTATGGAGAATGATGTGTCAGAAAATGCTTGACAAGTTCCTTGCCCATCAGCCTCAGCTAGTGACAAAACAACTTCTTACTAGTAACTCTTTTTCAGTACTTGAATATGCTCAGGGCCATCCATGGCTAAGAATATTTAGCAGAAGTGAGGCTGCATACATTCTGCCTGTGATTTCCTTTGAGAGTTGATGGGAAGGCCTCAAAGCACAATGTTACAAAAGGGTGGGAGAAACTGAAGTCTGGGGTCACTTTGAAAGGAACGGAATATATGCTTGAAAAGTGGGTAGGGGAATCCCACTTTTCTGGGAACCTGAGGAACAGAGAGAAGTATCAGAGGGAAAGGTTAGATGGATATGGGAAGGCAGAAGTTTCTAGGGAATCAAGTAGTTAAATTGAATCCCAGCTAAACAGTGTGATAAACAACCAAAGAAAAAGGACATTACCTGTCTCAGTCAACCTGGCTCAGTGAAAGTATTCTTTGCTGGCTAGTTTCTTAGCTCTCCACTTCACATTTCATCTGCAGATACCGTGCCTCTTGCAACCAAGCACCTCCTATGAATATTTTATAGAACAGATCCAAAAATACTGGACACTTTGTCAGCTTCCAAGAAATTTAAAAACTGATGACTCAGTATAACAGATGTTGGTATCACATGCAACACTATTTCATTTTGGTTTATGTGAAGTGTCTCACATTTTTTTAAGTTTCAGCAGACTACAAACCTTTGTATATCTTTGTATATCTGCACAAAGATTTTTCAAGATTTGCAATCAGATCAGGACATCAGTAATTTTAAGGGACTGATGGACTCACGGGAATCTTCATTCTAATAAGTAAGGTCATTGAATGTTTTTGACTCAGCAGTGAAACAGCAAACAATTTTGATGCTACTGTCACCTCTTCAGGCTTATGGCCCAAATGAGGTATATTCAGAAGTTCTTTCTTCCTTGAAGGTATTGGTTTCAGGCTTCTACTGGGGTGTATTGCCAGGTCATCCAGGAAGACCTCTGAAGTGTAACTACAAAAATAAAAGGAAAGGTTATGGAACGAGCTCTCCAAGGCAGTGGGCACAGCCCCAAGCTGCTAGAGTTTAAGGAG